TTACTTACTTACTTACTTACTTACTTACTTTAGAAACACCATGCTGAACAGTGAGCTTTTGGGAGGCTGGTAGGAGGATTTTGTTACCTTTGGACAGAGTCAGGCTATAACAGCTGCTGGCTGTAGCTTCATCTTTATTTTACAGATAGAGTGGCGAGAAAGTGAATAAGCTTATTCCACACAATGTGGAAATTTAAATGATTTAATAATACAATCTCTTAAGTCCTCACAATTGTTGGTCATATTTTTGTGCTCCTCTAAAACCTGTCATTCTGCTGTTCTACTACAACACTCAGTCATTTTAATACTGAAATTTTTTATTGATTAATTGCATAGTCATTCAACAGAAATCATTAAATCACGGATTGATCATTTAAGTTATTCTTCAAGTAAAAAATGGCAAACATATTTTGATACCTGAGTAATATGATTGTGTTTAACCACTAGCAATGTGAAGACATCACTTTGGGAACTTGTATTAGGCATTTGTTTCTATTTTCTGACATCTTATGCACAAAAAAATCATTTCATTGACAAATCATGAAAAGTAATAATGAACACCATTTTCTAGCAGCCCTGGTTGTAAGTAAATAAATGGCTGATATTCAGCAGTTTTCGGGAGTAAAAACTGTTTGCTTCACTCTGCACTCAGCTGGTTCACAGCAGAACATGCTGTAACTGTCCCCCTCTGTTCTTGTTAAGGCGTGCACCATTGCCCTTGGCAATGCGTGGACGTAGAGCATTGGTTGATGACTTCTCATTGGAGAACTCCGACTCAGAGGAGCCCCCTGCCTCGCTGAACCCCTTCTCTGGACTCCCTGGTACCCTGACTCCCTCCTCAGAAAACAGCCTCGATCCTCCACCGCCCTACAGCATCAACAACACAGAGTGACACCCACAAACTCAGTTATATACATAACTTACACAAACACACATGCATTGGCCTCTCACAGCCTGGATTACTCAGGGGTGACAGAGTGACATGCACACAGTACATAACAACGCTGTAGTTTCTAGAAGTAAATGAACAGTCATTTAGGATGCATACACCAACTATAAAACAACCTCACAGAGATATTGATGCTCCTCAAGATTTTTGCCTTGTTTTTTATCAACAAGTACAGAAAATGTATAGAAATGAGATTTTACAAAAAGGCAACTGAAATTAATTTTTATTTTGTAACAAACTGTGACATAAAAAGCGACTTAACAAAGACTGGATATTTCTACATTACTTAACAGCTTTGTAATACACCTCTGAAACTACATCTCCCAGAGTTCCGAGGGGAAAGTGAATTATTATCATCTAATTTCTTAGAGGTGGTTCTGTCTTTTACATTAAGAGGTATTTCAAAACAATGCCTTGTTTAACCCTGTGATGAGGATTGAATACATTTACAGTCTGATTAAACAAAGAGCTGCTGGAGAGTGAAAGTACTTTTCTGAAAGGTGTTAAGGCAAATACCATATATTAATGTTACAAAAAAAAGCAAACAAGAGAAGTCAAATACATACATGGAGTGTTTATTTCACCTTCTGTATGTATTTCAAGCAAATGTAATTTCTGACATCTTCATATGTCAGTTGACTTAAAAAAATTAAAGCTGGAATAAACTGGAAAATAGACAAAACTGTGAAGGACAGATAATACTGTATGAGTACAATGGCCAACATTTTTGTTGGGTTAACAAAAGAAAACTGGCAGTTAGTAACCAATATTTAATCAAACTTCCCAGAAATTAGTAAGCCTTAGAATAAGTTACTAGATATATCAATGTGATTTTCATATCACGCTGGTCACAGCTGTAGTACATTTGGCTACATCCAGTCATACTCGCTGTGTTAAGGTTGTATTAAATGATAAATCCTTTATCTGTAGATTAGAAACAGTAAGTTGTTGGACAATGCACTTGGTAGAATTACACACAGTAGTTTCTTTAAATAAAGTCCTAACATATTGCCTCAAAAATTTGAATTTGTATAATTGACATCAAACATGAACTTATCATCACTGGTTATCTTCTGTTTGACTCTGTCTTGTGAGGAAGCTTCTTAGTCTGGTTGCTTCTGTTCCTACTGGCACTGATGACAGAATGGACTGGGTCATGTTCTTGGTTCAGACTTGTTTCAGTCAGCATTATAGCATCAGGTCTCCTAGGTGAGTTTTTGCATGGATGATGTAATTGCTGGTGTAGCCACATAACTACTACTGTTTTAATTAAACTTTTTGTTGGTTTAGGCTGATAAACACATCACATTTTATTTTGACAAGCATCTTAGCATTGTAATTTTGATTTTTACTCATTAACTGCTGATACTAATTACTGATCAAACAAACCTTTTGTGTTTAACCAAATGTTGGGCATATGGATGAGAAAAAGGGACTCCAATGTGTAGTAAATGTAGAGTAGCTGTAGAGTAAGTGGATGACAGGAGTAGAGTCTTGTCAGGTTTTCACCTTCCTGTATAGAATCAGTCTTTGCTCTCAGTCCCTGTGTAGAAGATGGTAGGATAAGCTGAGCATGAGACTCAGAGCATTTTAGATACTAGTAGCATTAGATAGAACATGACAGTGGAAGCACTGAGGAATGAATTTTATGAAACAAGCAACAAGTTGAGCAAAGGTTTTTTTTTGTTTGTTTTGTTTTGTTTTGTGTTTTTTTTTTTTACCCAAGCTATTGAAACTCAAAATGACTTTATGTGTATATGGTGTAAACAAGATACAACCAGATCATTTTTTGATAATGACCCAGTTGTGAAACCTGGTTTTAAAGAACTTGTAAAGCATGATTTATTTATTGTTTTACCTATGGTCTTTATTTTGTTTCCATTTATGACCTTCAGCACCTATTTGCTTGACACAGCTTTAAGTATGACCAGGAAGTTAATGTTTTTAATGCATTTTGGTAAATGCACTTACCTGCTGTCTTGCAGAAGTTACATGTGAAAATTAATACCACTCTTAATCCTGTAAAGCCTGACACATCAAAAATAGCCAGAACATTATAATTTTTAGAACTGAGATGTTTATTAAACCTTTTAACAAAATCCAAAAGAAAATTCAAGATTTTTATTTGCCATTTATGCAAAGATAGACAGTCCAGGCATATAGGAATAAATGTGCCATATTATCTTGTTTATTTTTATTTATTTATTTGTATCACATTTGATACATAGGGCATTTTTGCCAATTTTTTTTTGCTCAGAAACTCACGTAGCAAATATGATACAAATTGTTTTATAGGGTTAAGTCCATGCATATGCTACGCTAGCCAGCAGTCAACTGGCTTAGCTTAGCATAAAGACTGGAAACTGCAGGAAGCAGTTATTCTGGCTTTGACCAAAGGTAAAAAAACAAAAACATCTACCAGTAATTTTAAAGCTTGTTATAACTTGTTTGATTAATCCACACAAAACCAAAGTGTAAAAAGGAGAAAATGCTGATTAAGTTAATAAGATTTTACTTATTAATTTGTGAGTTTTAGAGATGCTGGTAGGGCAGTCTAGCTCTTTCCCCCTGCTTTCAGTCTTTATGCTAAGCTAACTGACTGCCGGTTGTAGCTTGATAATTATAGCGCATCAATATTTTCATCTAACTCTTGACAAGAAACTGAATAAGCCTATTTCCCAAAATGCCAAACAATTCTTTTAATGGACTGAACCATACGTTACTGACACTTTAACTTTCAATTGTAGCTAAATAAAGATAAAGATTGTCTTGCTAAAATCACAAAAGTTTTTTTTTTTTAATTCTTGATATACTGTATAACTCTATTAAATGGCAAAGGATAAATGATCCTGTTGGTGTATTGTTGGTTACAATCAGTACAGTGGTTTGTTATTACTGCTCCCTGTTTCTACTGTTTATGGTTGATATTGCACTGACAAAAAAAAGAACAATTTGTGTGTGTGGCATTCAACAGGCCTGATGTATTTTCCGCTTTTTTTCATTCCATGCCGGGTTCACCATGATTCTCAGTTAGTGTCAGGTGAAGAAAGATCAAACTATAAGGGTCAAGAAAGAGTTTGACTACTGATAACATATATTTAACACTCTTTTAACAGTTTTATCTTTCACAGTTATTTTAGCAATATGCAAAAGATTTTGTTTTAATTTGTTTTTTAAGATATTGTGTAAATGCTGCACTTTACACACTACCAGTGGAGGTAAACACAGCTAGACATTTTCAGTACAGTGTCAGTTTCAAAGAGGCCAACAAAGCATTAAGCCGAATGAGCTGGCATCGCATCATTATGATGCAGTCTGTCTCTTAAATTAAATATTGTAATCACAAAAAGTCATATAAATGCCTTGACAGACCAAAATCATAGATTGAACCACTGGAACAGGAACAGATCAGGTCTGTTCACCCGTAGCAAGAGACGAGGCTGGTGCTTCTCTGGGGTGTTATTTCTGTGTGTGTGTCTATGGCTTCTGTGGAACTTGAAACGGTTTAGAAATGCATTTTATTGTTTTAGCCTTTCAAAACATCTGACTGGGGGTTAACTTTAATACATGTCATTGGTTTGGATCTTTGTGTGTCTCTGTGTTTCTTTGTGTAGGTTGGGCGTCCACACACACACACACACACACAAAGCATTAATGCTCATGCAAAAATACATATATCTACAACAAACAGGATTTATGAGAACTACGCCACCACATTTATCTTTTTTATTCACATTAAAGATGTCTTGCAGCAGTTTAGCATTTTATTGTCGAGACAATACTATGGAGATTAAAACAGATTCAGACTCACACACACCTCAAATAACAGTTGAACACTTACACATATACAGTATACACTGATTGGTGCAAAAGGGAGCAAAATTAATTATTTCATACATTTATTTCAAATTTATTTTAAATTTCAAAATAAATAATTCCTGTTTAAATCTCAAGCAAATATTTTAATTTATTGTAATTATGATATAAATACAAATTTGAATTAGAAAGCCAAAATGTTTTGAGAAAAATGTAAGTGTGCCCTCTGTAAATGCTGTAAACAAGTTTAAAAAATGTTAGCTGCTGAAATGAAACTGTGGCTTTAATGACTGTTAGTTTAATAAAAATGACCAACAGCAGTTATTTTATTTTTAACAGTTGGTGCTAAAAGCGTGTTCGAAGCATAACACAAAAGCTCCATTCTGCAGTGCTTCTCCCTCTAATAAAACACTAATTTAGAGACCCATTAAGGAACGGTCTAATAATACAGTATAGTCATCACTCTGAGGAATGAATTATTGTTTTAGAGACAAAATGGCAAAAGATTCAAAGAATCCTTGGGCTTTGTGGCACATGTAAGAAATGCGGAGAGAGGAAAAACTCTGGGACTTCTGGAAAAAAGATACAGGAAATAAATTACAAAAGTAGAACCACAAATTAAAAGAACTGACTAATGATGTACACAGTTTTCAATAAGTCATTCTCATTCATATTTTATAATTTCACAGCATTTATAATGATCTTATTGTTTGAGATTTAACCAAACATGTCCAGAAAGATTTGACTGGTAGAATAGATCCTGAAAACGCCTGCTTAGCTTTGACTGTTAAACAGATCTGTAACCATGATCATGCTAATGAAATTTGGTGCGGAGAGTATGAATGATATTTTCACGTTCTACTTTGTTGAGAAAATATACACCCATCTGAACATTTGTTTTTGTGCTGCTATAAAGCATGGAAGATCTCATCTCACCACCTTCTTTATTTGACATTCCCAGCAGAACAACCATGTGGAACCTCATCCGTGGTCAACACACATCCAGAAAAAAAGATCCTA